TATTCTGACAAGTCCCTGTACACCCAGCTGTGCTTTTACCGGTACATTTTTGATGTGGACTGTGCACTGGAGAAACTTATTACCGATCATGAGAAAGGTACGTTAAAATACTGTAATTACCTTCGAGTTTAAAGTGGAAATTTGCATCATAAAAGCCAGGCCTACTGTGTCAGGCTGTTCACACAGCATCACGTTGCTGTCTCAGAAGTAGGCCGCGGTGGCCTATATGAACACAGGGATCCCCTGCATGAGGGGCGGCGGCATAGGAATCCCCAGCTTTGGCCCCCATGGCCTGTCTCACATTGTTCTCTATTGAAGCAAGGCTTTTGGGGAGGAACAGTACAAAAAGGACTCTTTAAATGCTATATTTTGAAAATGCTATTTTCTATAGAGTTTAGTAATTATAATAAAGTAAGCATAGGGAACATGATCATTGGGCCTACAAAAACCAGATATTACCACAAAAAAATAGACCTGGAGTGTGTCTCTGCTGTTCACTAAAAGCCTAGGTTCATTTTGAAAGAGAGGAATGGGGTGGAGTTCTTTTATTGACTCCATCCTAAGAGAGTGTATGGGCACTGCAGCCCATATGATCAGGTGCTGCCTGGAACCCTCTGCACCTGGCATTTCCTTATACAAGACTTGCAGGCACTGTGGGACTTAATGGGTCTTGGAAAGGCTTTGTTACATAACTTAAAGTATTTGAAAAGGCCATGACAAGTGCATGTTTTTTTCTCCTACCTGAAAATCACATTGACAACTTTTCTATTACCTGTAAAAAATAAAAGAGGCAAATTTACACATTTTTCTTATTAGTTACCTACAGAGTGTTTATGTTGTTTGTCAGCGAATATCAATTCAGTGTTTTGTTGGTCGGTTTTAGGGCTGGAGGCATATAAAAACCTACAAACATTGCTGGATTTCCTCACATAATAATCCCCATGCTGCCCTTGATTTGGTCTCACTGTTTTCAATTCCAGTTGTAATTGACTTCTGTTTTTCCATCCACAAGATAGGCTCGAAATTATTTTTTAAAATGTCTTGACTTATGTGGTTTTACTGTCCTTGGATATAAAACATTTTACAACTAATGGAGAAGCTGGTTCAGATATTAGTATCTTATCTTTAGATGTTCAACAAGGACTTAGGCTATCTCCACAGCATATATTCCATGAATTAGTCAAATTTATATAGGGAAGAAATTTCTTCTCTCCATTAATAACTAGGTTTTAGAACTTCTATTCCTGGCTAACGTCCAGCCCATATTTACCTGTGATATCATTTATAGATGTTTTTCTTAACCATAAGGACCTTTCCTTAGAGGCAGTTATAAGTTGAGGAAATTAAGTACTGTGATTCTATGATGAATGAATACAATGTCTATTTCTGTCAGGTCTGTTACCTCTTTTGGTTATCAGTATATTAGAACCTGCTGCCCCATTACTTCTTTCTGTATCTAGCCATCCTAGATTGTTTCCTATATGTACTTAGACTCTGAGGAGTTAGAATCCTCTTCCATACAGCTCTAAAATCCTTATCTGAGAGGCTGAATCAGTCTGACACGATCAGCAGCTTTCAAAAAGTCTGGTGACTCTTGGAGACGTGTAGAGGAGTGATCTGGAAAGTCACTGGAGACTTAGCCCAGCTTCTTAGAGAACATCGAGGAGTGCACATTGCTCCCCCGGAAAATAAGAGGGAATAAGCAGCTGCTTGGAAGCCTCTTGCTTGGCCAAAGGGGAAAAGTATTGACAGGATCTGTACACTCTAGGTTTACTATAGCCTTATTTCCACAAGTTTAATAATCGCACGCTTTTTTGCTGTTATCTTCAATAAATACACTACCCAGTAGTTCAGGGCAAAAACAGCACTAAGTGAATTATTGACAGGTTCTTTTACATGACAGAGGGCTAAAGAAAACAAACAACAAGAATACAAATTGTACGTGTCTGACAGAAGGAACTTCACGAAATGTTCCAAGAGCCCTTTTATTTATTGAATTTTACCTATTGAGAGTATTTTTCTTTGAGCTTCTTTCTGCTTATTTATTGTTCCTAAATTACAGTTTGGAAATAAGTAAATTAGATGAAATTTACATGCTCAGGACATTTTCACATCATGTAGTAATGCTAAATGGTATTAGGGTATTTGTTAGTAGTGGGATATAAACTGAAACTCTAGGTCTTGCTTACCAATAGTCCAAAAGCAGAGGCTTTCTAACACATGTCTGATAAGCTCTCTCCTAAGAATCACCTGGGGCATATTAAAAATCCAAATCCCTGGACCCTATGCCCAGAGATTCTAATTCAGAAGGTGTAGGATAGACTTAGGAAGCTATACTTTTAGAAAATCCCCCCAGATAATTCTGACATGCAACCAAGTTTGAGAACCCCCTGTCCTGGGTACTCAGATCAGTAGGATGGTTTCTGAATAAAAGGGAATTGAATACAGTTGTAATCCATAAGGAACAAGTGGGGAACAAGAACATTCTCATAGTCCAGAGGAGAACAATTATAGGGGGAAATGCCATACATTTAAAATAATGTGACATATCTAAAATTCTCTCACTTTATAAATTGGAGTGAAATTATCTCTTCTGATTTGCTATTCAAAGAAAACCTGCTGTAAAAATGAATTTAAAATCTGTGGGAACCAGAGGGCAAATATATTTATTCAATTTGGACCAAGGCCAGAACACCAGTGGATGTTAACATCAGAAGTCCTGTGAAAAATGACAGTCGTTACCCACAGTTATATTATTGAGAATGGGGTCTATGTATCATCTGTCAACAAATGCACTGTAACTGGTGTATGAAGTATTTACTGTAGACTCTCCTTTACTGTCAGTACCTAGCAACATTTCCTTCACTAAGATTGTTTTACCATTTCCATTGTAAAGCCCACATTTTAGGGTTGTAACTGGATGGTGGTTTTAATTTTTGTTTGAAACTTGGCAATTTGACTTGGAAAAACACGTACAAATTATTTGAAAGAGGTTTATTTTTACAGTGAAAAGTAGCTCTTGTCAAAGCCTTTTCTGTGCTTTGCTTTCAAATGAAAGTTTACAGGCCATTAGTCCATAATGTGAATTAACCCCGTTTGGTATTTTTCCCCTTCCTTTAAAACGGTAAAGAACTGTTATTCACTTTGGTGAAGTGTTTACTGCATATTCACTGTAACTACATAACATTTTTTAAAATCTTATTTCTGTGGGGCTGCGGCATTATTATTGTAACTGCTCCAGAATGTACACAGATGGCATAATGGATCCAAAGGAGGTTTTAGAGGAATATAGTGGCAATATATGAAATAAAAATCCATTTCCAGGATGGCAGCATGAAATGGTCCCATTTGACCGCCTCATCCCATGGTGTGTTGGCCTGAGTAGGGATAAGTGAACAGTTCAGGGGAAACCTGAGTCAGTTCAAATCTTTGCCCAGTTGTCTAAATTAAGTCTGCTTAAAAAACACAGGAGGAAAAAATATCTCTTGCTCTTCTCAACTGAACCTTTTTTTGTTTATTCAGCAACAGTAAAAACTATATAGATAGATAGATAGATAGATAGATAGTTTCTGTCATGTGTTGAGTGCCATCCCTCATGTCAGGAACAAAGGTGGACAGTAAACACTTTTTGCCCTGGAGGAGCTTAGGGTCTGTTGAGGAAAGACAGATTCAGCAGCTGCGAAGTACGGTATGGCCTGAGTGTCATCACCAATGTGGTCAAATATTATTTTGGAAACAGCACCACTAACTGCCTTTTCACTTAAGCGTATTATCTTTCTTTATTTCTAGAAAGAAACTTGTTTTCTGTTCCTGTTCTCTCTTAGCAGATGCTTATTTCCTCTTATTCTGTGTCAGCTATTTGTAATAAGGATGGTTGATTAGTTTGCTAGGGCTCCCATAACAATGTGGTACAGACGGGTGGCTTAAACGACAGACAAGTATTTACTCACATTTCTGGAGGCTAGAAGTCCAAGATCAAGGAATTGGCAGGGTTGGTTTCTTCTGAGGCCTCTCTCCTTGGCTGGCAGATGGCCATTTTTCCCGGTGTCTTCACATGGTCTTCCCTCTGTACCTAATCTCTTTTTATGAGGACATCAGTCATATTTGACTAGGTCCCACCCTAATGACCTCATTTAAAGTTAATTCTTTAAAGGCCCTATCTCCAAATAAGTCACATTCTAAGGCACAAAGAATTAGGACTTCAATTCCCCTTCAGTGTGAATTTTAGGGGGACACAGTTCAGTCCATACTGATGGCCTACTTGGTGGATTTTTCTATAACCCCCTTTTGAACATGTTGCATTTGTCTCTGCCAGAATTGGAACACTAGGATTTAGGACTGCTGAAGACAGGAAATGGAGTTGCAGCATAGAGGCTAGCTAAAAATGGCGATTTAACCTGATGAGAAGCATCTATTAGGAAGCCTGACTTCTCAACAGGAGTCTCTTCAGGCCTCAATGGACTGTTCTTCAGGTCACCCTGTTTCTCAAAAAGGGCTGTGGGCAGGCTGGAGTGCCCTAGCCTCCCGAGCTGCTCCTATAAAGATTGCAGTGCTCCTTGCACCCTCCTCTCAACCAGGTGAAATCTCACATTCACTTCCCCTCTTGAGTTTACCTGCTTTATTTTTTTTTTTTCCTTGAACTTTTAGGTTTCTTGTTGTGTCTTTTCTTTAGGCCTGATGGTAACATCTGTAGGCATTTCATGGTTTTCATTAGTTTTTCATTAGTGCCCAGAACTAACCTGTCCCTTTTGTAAAGTACTTTATGGTTTCCTGCTATCCTTTCACATGTGTAACACAGGGGTCTTCACAATAGCCCTGTGAGACAGCAGTGGATTGTGACCATTATATTGATGAAGAAATTTAGTTACGTAAATAAAAATTTCCTTCCTTTGCATTCCCATTGCACCCTGTGAGTGCCCTTCTCTTAGTTCTTATCCTGAATTGTCTTATTTTACTTTCTCTTCCACTAAGTTCGTTGAGGGAGAGGGTTGTAGCTTGTTTATCTGTGCTTTGCCCATTGTAGCTAGCTCACTTAATATTTGGTGAATGAATTCTTAGTGGAAAATAAGGCCACACAAGCAATTTCAAGGATTTTGG